CCTCACTTACAAGTCCGGCGATCCGGCGATCCGTTCTGCTGCCCTCAGGCCTCCCGCTGCGTCGGGCTCCTGAGGGCGGGGCCGGTGACTCAGGAGGCAGCCGCGGGGTTAGATCCTGCACTGCGGCCCAGCGGTCTTCCGCGCTGTCCTAGAGCCCGCATGAGCACTGCGCCTGCGCACTGGCCCCGGCCCGCGTAACTGGACCCGCACGCTTGTGGTCGCGCCCTGCGTGTTTCCGGCGCCCCAGGTTCTAACCCCGGACTTAATAAGTTCCCGGTGTTTCTCCACAGCTCTGAAGCCTCGGTGAAGGCCTTCCGGGCGGGAACTCTGAGGTGACTCCCCAGTGTCGTAGGGTGAATTTTCGCCCCGAAGCCTGCCAATACCTGGCCACGGTTGCAGTGCTCTGTCCGCTCAAAGAGGGATTCAGCACGCGGCCCGTCCCTAGGCCTTGTGGCAACAAACAGACCTGGAGGCCCCAAGTTTTGTTTGGCTCAGGAACTGAGAGAAAAATGCCCGCATCTGTAGCAGGACTGACGCTAGACCGGATTTCCCGGGTCCCTGCAGCAGCCCGGATGGCGGTCAAACTGCAAGTAGGACTTGGCGGCCTAGGAAAGCTGACTTGTGCCACCCAGCCCCTCCCGCCAGAGGTCACCGGAATCTTTTTTTCCGTGGACGGGCCCAAAGTGTCGCCTCAGTATTCCAGTCTCTAAAGAGGATCCTGGACACCAAAAGAGTCCTTTGGCCAGGGGCTGTTTTCTGAGACTAGATGTTCCCGAGGTACCTGAGGAGGAGGAGGGAGACTAGGAGGAAGGCTGCGAGCGAAGCCGCCTGTGGAGGTCTTTCGCTTGCTCTCCATTCCAGCTTTCAGCCTGTGCGGGCCCAGTACTTTTCAGGGCTCCTCAAAGGGACCTAAATCTGGCTCCCAGGCAGTGTGGCTGTCTGACTCGTAGTCTCTCCCCTGGAGGCTGGCTAGGCATTAGTTTGAATCCTGACTCTGCCTGTAATATCTGCGCGACCCCAAAATGGTGACTTGATGTCTCTGGGCAGCGACTTTCTCATCTGTAAAATGGGAACATGTGTTGGCTCCCCTCACTAGGCCCTCATCAGAATTAAGTGATACACGCTTAGTAAATGGCAGCTATTAGCCTCTGTGTCTGTGCTCTGCTGTTCCCTCAGCCTGGAGCCCACCTGTATGCCTCAGCATGCCTCAGCCTCATTGACTCATCCTTGACACTGACAAAAACCGGTACCTGCCGAGCATTCTCCTTATGTATATAAGATCATTTGTCCTCATAACAGCCCTATGGGGTGGATGCTATTTATTATTCCCATTTTACAGATAAGTAAACTGACTCTGAAGTTAAACCCAGGCAGCCAATGTCCCTAGTCTGTACCCTTAACTACTTATCTTATGCACTGACTCTTTAATAATATAATTAATACGATAATAGCTCAAATAACAACAGCACAACGGACAAAACTGCAGTTGCAGCTAATGCTTCCTGAGGGCTTGCTAGGGCCAGGCTAAGGTGACTGCTACCTAAGCCTCTCCATGAGGCAGGATCTAAAAGGGAAAATGGAGGCTCTGAAAGGCAGGGTCACAGAGGATGGCAGCACCCGGTCTGAACCTGGGCTTGGCTCATGGCAAATTTTTTGGTGGTGACTAATCTGGATTCTCTTCTCACCACATCCCTCCCCAGGCTCACTTGCTGCCAGGCCTTTGCATGGGCTGTGCCCTCTGCCTGGAACACTCCTGCCTTTTTTCCCCCCTGGTTATATAGTTACTCAGGCTTTGGGTGTCAGCTCTGGGGTCATCTCTTCTAGGAAGTCCTCCCTGTCTCCATCTCCACCCCCATAGAGACTAGGTGAGGCTTCCAGTTACAGTGCTCTCAAAACAGCTGGTACTTTCTCACAGCACTCACTGCCAAGTATAATCATATTAGGTTTTGGTCCTCCTGTCTGTACCAATCATGCCACAGGGTACCTCCCCTACACACATGGCTTAAATTCCATCACGGGGTATCGACACCCAAATTTTTGTCTTCAGCCCGCACATCTCTCCTGAACTCCAGGGTTCTACAGCCTGCATCCTACCCACAGTCTCCATGGGGAGGCTGGAGGATTTTAGAGGTGATTCAAGCTTTATGTGTCCTAAACTGAGCTCCTGATCTTCCTCCTGTAGGGGCCAAAGGAAAACTTCACCCCTAAA